ATTTATTTACTTATTTATTAACTAAATTACGCTATAGATTAAATCATTAACCGAATATCAAATTGAAAGATAACATAATTGAAAATAACTTATAACATACAACAGCATCCGTCTAAACAATAATTCAGGATACAGCCATATGTGCTGATGTGTATCTTTATAATAATAAATTACAAGAAGTGAAGCAAAAAAAAACAAAGGCTTTTTATAAACAAAACAATCATCGTAGATTGTTTATGCAAATGCCAGTTCTTGGCCGAATATATCTGTGTTTGAATAGATTTAAAAAAAACTAGAGAATCAGTAGTTACGTAATATGATGCTTTCAATCATGCCAGCGGAAGAAAACGCAAAATCGAGCAAGTGGTAATACTCGTTGCACATTTTACATATTGATTGATTGACAAATCGTGATTAGTTCGACACTTTACATTTCGATGTCTTTAAGAGAACAAAATGGTCTTGAGATCCTACTAGGAATAATAACATCCTTATGTTCTAATAAAGCAAGCGAATAAGCATCAACTTTCCCGATATGTCCTTGTAGATGTTGTTGTAGATGCTTTCGTCAAGAAAGCCGCAACTATTTTCCATATAAGTTTAAAAATTTCCCAAGAATTTAAAGTGAAACAGTTTTGTGCAGACATAGATGATTAACGCATCTATTGCTATATGAAAATATTCCTATTGATGCGCCCTTGCCATAGGATACTGTGGTTTTCGACTTAAGGCAATCAACCGTTACACAAGCTCACTACATATTATTTCGGTGCCATTGTTGGTTAGCGGATGAATCTAAAAAAGCTGCTATCTCACCAAACGTCAACGTTGTATACGAATGCCATGTGGGTTTTTTTGTATTTCAAGTATTTTTATACCCTACACCAGAACTTACTACATTACATATTAAGTTTGTCGGGACAAGGACAACACCCAGAAGGACTTGAAACTAACCTATCCTTTATTATTTATTATCCTGGTCAATTTAAAATTGCTTTTTGAATCTGGAAATCATTTGACCAATCGATCCATACCGCATCCTCAACTCGCCCAGGGGCCTAGCTCTCCAGCTTTGTGAATCGTGCCGCCTTCCTTAGCTCTGAGTACCATACTTTGTCCGGCATTATGAAGTGTTCGCCAAACGCTTGGTGTCTGATGCTGCAGCGGGCTTAAAATGTGATGGAACGTTTCGTTCTTCGCTTAACGGTATTTGCAAGAACCTATGTTTCTTAGGTGATATTTGAGGAAATTATGACCTGCGTAGAAGGCGATGATCTCGTCGCTACTTTTCAGGTACAGTAGCTTATGTTTTTTATCGGAAGATTTTATAAATTTCTTTCCGACTTTTTCTGTGCACCTGTGTGATGCCAGCCTGTTAATAAGGCTTCCTCGTACACCGCAGAATTGTTTCGGGCCCTTGGCGCTCCCCTGTTAGCTAGACAGTCGACCTTCTGAGTGTCTTGGTGTCTGACCTCAATGGTCAGGTACCTGTATTATGTGCACGCCATTGTGCTTCAATAACTCAAAGTTGTAGCATAGATACTCTTTATAATAATTGTAGTAATTATTTCAAAGACTGCAAATGCTTAATTGATGCGACTTAGGAACGATAGCGAGGACATCTTCGATGTCAAATAATGTGCAAAACATTCAAAAGTTCTTTAGAAGAATGAACCCATTAGATCCAATCTAAAAAAAATTACTTTGCCTTATGTATTCATCCGCTTAAGGTTCGTCTCAAAGCCAGTATAATTTTTTTATTCATTTCATCAAGAATATGGTTAAGTATATCAATCATATTGAAAAATTAAATATAACAATACCATAAAAGTGAAAAGAGACTAATGGTTTTTTAATTTTTATTTCATTTTTTAATCTACACACATGCATTCATCAATATTCTTCCGATTTGAGAAACGTAACAGCTGACTAATATTAGTTAGATGCATAAATTTCTATAACAAGCGAAAAGAGAAACGACCCCACCATTAAGCAACATTTTAGATTCATCATCATCCATTTACGCATTCGTATAAATGAAAGTTTATGAAAAAAAAAAAAAGACGAAATCCACAACCAATCCAACCCTCCGCAAAATAAACAAATCATAACTGTAAAAAACCACAACATGACAAAATGTTGTTATTTCAAAAAATTTATGGACACTTGAAACGAAAGTGAGATAACATACAATATTAACAACTTTTTATGAGAATCTCCGAATGTGTTTATAGTTTGTTCTATTCCTGCGTGAGTACATTTATACATATATGTGTGCATATGTAAACATGTGGAAGCATGTTCTGCTTCTATTCAGTGTGTTATCCTTTATAATTATATATTCATAAATATTATGACGCTGACTAGCGTCTTCAGAACAATCGTTAATCGATAATGTAGCGTAACGTGAATGTGACGAATTCTACCCGATGCGAGTTGTTATTGTTTGTTAAGCGAAAAGCTTGTTTTCGCTTTAAAAACCGTTACACTAAATGTATTTCACGTTCTCCCTTATGAATGTATGAATATTCATAAAAAAAAGAATGAAGATTATTGAAAAAAAAGACATTCGCAATCGTAAAATTGTGAAGTTAAAAAAAAAGAAACAAATAAACGAATAATATTTAGAATCATTCGATTCTCTAGCGTCTTCATAAAAAAAAAAAAAATTGTTTTTTCTTTCATATTACTTTAGTGAAGTAAAAGCATAAAGAAGCTATTTTCGGCCCGAACTGTGTCACTACCACTGTACTGTACTTTACTGTATGATATGTAAATGCAAGATAGAAAGAAGACTCATCTTTACGACATATATAGATGAGCGTATCTGCTGCTCCGTGTTACTTTATTTCAAACTATTTCTCAAGCATCACTTCATAAGCAATTCTATTAAATAAAGTCCAAATTTGAATAATTCATCTTCTGTGTACTTGTTTTCGTGATAAGTGTCGGTGAATTTTTAATTCGTTTTAGATAATTGCCAAGAGGATTTGCAAACGAATTTTTTAAAATAAACTGCCGAGCAAATTCTCTTCATTAGGATTTTAAAGCCGCAATCTCGGTCAGACAAGCGGTCATATATTTTTAGGACAACAAGTCCACATATGTTCTTAATTCGACAAAAACGGATGACATACGGGCCCCGGAAGGAGTACGACAATCCCCGCTACCTCGAAAAACACCTGCGAGATGTACTATGGCATATAAATTGTAAAAGCCCGCAAAATGTTTTTGCATATGGCAAAACTGTCTAAAATCAATTGCTTGAATCCCACGTGAACTACTTCTTGCAGTAAAAAGTTGAAAGCTTTCATTTTGCTTTAGTAGGTTTTCCAGCTGGACAGCGAAATAGTTGAGTCCTCTTTAAAGTTGGGAAAAGTAAAGTGTTTTGCAATATTTTGCTGTAATGATGGCTTGTGAAGGCCAATCGTGTTTCTTAAGACGGAAAGGTAATACGAATTAATTTTTATAATTAGATTACATAGATCGAGCACATCACTGTAGTCGATAAGGAAGATGGCTAGTTCATCAGCTTTGAAATCAGGGAAAAACATACAAATTTATTGCCGTAATACGAGATCGGTCACATAATTTTGTCACAAATGCTTTAAATCCTCCCAAAAAAAGTATTGCGAGGCGCGAAACAGGTAAAATTCTCGTGTTTCCGATAATCGCTTAACAATTTTGAAAAAGCGAAATGCCTTCAAGTGGTCTAGAGCAACATCCAATGAAATTGTGAGTGCTGTACAATCGCGAGCTACTCGTCGACAAATATGAGGAAGAATAGCTCGAAAAATTCCTATGCTCAGTGAAGTTAATTTGGAGAAGAGGAAAAAAAAATTAGGGCAAATCGGAAGGCAACAAAAAATATGGCGAAATATACTCTCCAACGACGAAGCAAAAATAAATTTGTATGGAAATGATCCGGGAGGAAGTTTACTTCCATCAAAAGAAAACAATTCCATATTAGGCTTTTTAAAAAACATGCGAAACATGGTGGAGAAAATAGACCACTGCTACGGAAATTTCAGCAGGGCAATGCGGCGAAACATTCATATAATTTGGTGAAAGCGTGGTTCAGCGAAGATAACTTGGATGTCGCTGAATGGCCAAGTCACTCTCCCGGCCTCAATCCTATCGAGAATATTTGTGGAGGACTAAAGCGTCATGTGTCCTGTGGTAATAAAAAATAATTGTAGAAAAATATTCAAAGTACGGTATAATATCTAAGTAGAACGCGGCGATAACTAGTTTCTTTCATGCTTACGAGGAGCGTAGCTGGCCTGAAAACCAAAAGTAGTTATACCGGCTATCGAATGCCTGTTGTACATCCACCTATTCCTCTGTCCACCCAGAAACAAGCGATATTTTTGAAACGAACTTTTTTTATGTTTTGTTGATACTTAGCATAAGTCTGAAGCCACGGAAATGTTCCTACTTTATAAACTAATGATCAACATAATATATAACAAAGGAAAATGGAACAAAATACCCCGGGCGTGTTAAAAAAACTTAGGACCCCTTATTTAAAATTACGGCGTCCCGGAGTTTACAGATGAACATATTTTGCTACGTCTTCATCGGTGTTGAATTAGTCCCCCCCGATCACACGCCTTTAATCAGCATTTTTAGAAGTTTTCAAGTTTTTGCTGTTTAGTGGTCCCTGTAAGCAATTCAGCCAGTGGTAGGTGGACGAATACACATTGACAAGTTTGTACGTCAATTTGTAGCTGCCATAGCTTTTGCATAAAATAGCTGGAACGGGACCTTTATTTTTGGGACTTGCCAAAGTTTTGGACGAGAAAATTTCAATATTTTGATACAATGACAAAGAGAAAATAAATGGTTTGCGAGGTCTTGTCTTGTCTTCTGTCACATAAACCTTATGGTACATAAACAAGAAAACGAAGCATGTTCTTATTACATTCACACATGCAAACGTGTGTATGTACGTAACATTACGTAATTTACTTTACTACCATCAAAATAAATGGATTAATTTAAATCTCTTCTAATAAAAATAATAATTTGTCCCCGTTATCCTGTTTCACCATTCTCGGAATATCCTCCCAGAAGTGCACGCAGCCGAGTTTCCAATGCCTTAAACGATGCATTTGGACATCTACAGTGGCGCTTTGCTTTATTGTATGTTTTATTGTTGGGAAAATTTCATTCATTTTCGCCTCAATGCATTTATAAAACGCGCCTTTCGCCCGAAGTGGCTCATTTATTTCTTTATACACTTTCTGGGCTTTCCGATGATATAATCTCTGCGCTTCGTACGAACATGTCATTTTAGAGAAGACGTTCCCAAGCTGAGTTAAAGTGTGTGCCTGCAAAGTTTTAAAAGATTGTCTCACCGATATCTTTTCAGCCTGCGTCAACTCTTCAACGGCTTCTTTCAACTTTTGATAACTGAAACGTATTAGTCTTTAGTGCAAACTCGTTTATATGTGAAATATGTGATGTACGCTTACTGCATTAAAAGTATGCCTTTTAAATATTTGTAAATGCATAAATTTTTTTGCGACTGACGATCTTCATTAGGATTAACATAAGTAGATAAAAATTCCAATTGCTCCCAAGCATCCTCATACTTATTATCCGCCATTAGGCATTCAATTAGCATAGCAAGACCCTGAACAAAGAGTCCAAGGTGCTCTTCTATGCCCACTACAAAACAACGGTTTTAATCTATTTTACACTAATCAGAAAATTTAAGTCAATTTGTACCGCCCAAAAAAAAAAAAAAAAACAAAACAATCGGATAACTTACAAAGTAATCATTTTAGCAGTCCGTCTTTCGTCCATTGAAAATACTAAAGTTGCAAATAAGTTAAAGAATGAGATAAACTTGCCCGTAAATAGCTAAAAAAGAAAGGAATACCATATAGAAAAACTAAAAATGTGATGTATGTCCGAATTACATCAGCAATCTACGAACTGTAGAATATAGGGAATTGAAATTTAATTCCCCCTCTTTTTGCTTCCTTCGCCCCAGAAATCTTATCATGGATTTAAGTCAGATAGTTGTGAAAATTCGGTCCGAGCAATTTCTACTGATATTGTTTATTAAGTTTATTGCTCTATGTTCGTACCTAGCGCTATGCAGCTTATAACGGAACGGATTATTTTTTGGGCATCACTTGGATTCGTCGCTATGAGCTCATAACCCTCGTTAGCCAGCTTCGAGGATAAAGTTTTGCATATTTTCTCTTTCATCGGCAGTGTTTCATAGCCATCGTCAACGTGCCAAGGTTCATTTAGCGACATTTCCATTGCTCTGTTCAGGTGGTGAATAGCTTTCATCAAATCGTACTCTCAAAGAAGAAATATAAATTTATGTATATATAACCTTTGTTATCCCATTGAATAAATAATTTAAAACTACTTACCGTAAGTAAGTACGTACATACCGTAGTTATAGAAAATGCGACATTTTTCATAGTTGGTCTTGTACGATGTCGAAGGGACTTTCTCGCATAAATTTAATACGATCTTATAAATTTCAACTAGTAACCAACGATATCGGCGAACACTTTTCTCCAATAGCACAAGAGCTTCGCATGACTGTGCGAATATTATTGATTGATCTTTTTTTTGTATGTAAGCCAATTCGGCGGCTTTAAACTTATCGAACAAACCAAGAAGTAAATTGGGTTTCTCTTTTAAAGTATAATTGATAATAAGTCCATTCATTAGACGAATTTCTTGCGCTACTAGTTTTGAAAACATAGCGGCCATGTACAAGCAATTTATCTCAAATAGCTCTTCAATGAGAACGTCATAGATCGGGCCTTTTTTGCGTCGGACCTCGGACATGGGTATGTCGAGAGAAATGGTTGCGCGAATGGCTCGTCTATTTGCCAGGTTTGTTGGAAACGTTGGACAGAAAAGGCCTATTTTCATGGTCAAAATTTTAAAATATTTGTTTGCGAAAAATATTTAATACAAACATTTAAAATATAAAACATATAAAATATAAAAAAAATATATAAAAATGTATATAAAATTGTTTATAAAAAAAAAAAAAAAAAGATTGAAGAATATAAAACGTCTTCTATAAAGTTTAAAATCGAATTGAATTTCAAAATAGCATTTTGACAAAAGACAGAATTTCCTAGAGAATATTTTTCGAAAGGTGTCAGGTAAAAGACCATCAGGTGAAAGACCGACAGGTAAAAGAGTTTCCCCATTCCAATAATAAGTTTCTTTGCTCGTGGTTCCATGCGCTCTCCAAAAAGACTATTTAGGAGAAATGAGTAGCTGCCGGCAAGTTACAGCCTTTCATTTTGATCTCTTCAACTCTAACGTCAAAGCATTTTCAAATAGCAATGTGCTTGTGTTAGCTGGCAACTGCAAAAGCCCACAAGAAATTCTGCTAAGAAATTTTTGAAGACGACTAGGAATTCATTTTCTCTATCGTTTCGTAATAAAGTGTGAACTAAAGTGTAAAACCTCTGATTCTCTCTTCGACAGCTATCTTCTCTATTCTCTATAACGACATTTGGCATTTTCTACTTCAACGAACTTGTGCGAGGCATTCCAAGGACTCCTCTGGCAGCTATGGTAGAATAAAATTAATGCGATATCATCATAGCACAAGTGTTCATGCTAAACGTGAAACCATTTAAAAAATTTTAATAGAAACATTACATATTATTATTATGTTCATTGGGTTGCAAAGCAAGATTGCTGGTGTCTTGAACACGAAATTCGTTGTATTTTACTAACAGAAAATTCTTATTCTTATACTACTTGCTGGAAGAGAGCAATTGGAGAAACCCACTGCAGTAGAGATTTCATCATTAGTGATTCCTTTCCATTCGGCCAAAGCGTACTGAATGTTTCTTTTTGATAAGGAATTTATTTATTTATTTTTTATTTGTTTACTTGCTTAGTTATTTATGTGCATATTTGTTTATTTAAAGGAATTCAACTACCACAAATGAAAGCAAGGCAGACCATTACATGAGCCGTTTATTTTGAAAATGGGGCAAGTCCATTTTTTTCTAAATGTATTTCAATAAACTTAAAAATGATGGCAAGCACTAATAAATATATATATATATATATATATATTTTTAAAGTAAGTTTATTAACCGGTAGTGTTTATAATGTGCTAACTAAAAAAAAAAAAAAAAGGTATTTTTTATTACTAAACGGGCTTGGCTCACTTTCAAATCCAGTTCCAGTATCCTACAGCACTTCGTCTAAGATAATTCACGATTTATTGTCTCAAAAAAGTAGCTACATTTATATAGTTGTTTCCAAATTCAAGTCATCGATTGCTTGCAATCCCCGATACGGGGACGGACGGAGAGACGAGGTTAAACTGATTTAAGAAACCGTTCTAGATCGGAAGGTATATTAAGCGCTTCCGAGTTTTGAGAACATATGTCCAAGTTTACTATATCATGCCGCCCGAATGGTGTAAGATATGAAAACACTATCACTTGACTTTTTTTCGACTAATTTTTAAAAAAAAATTCTTAATATATATAAAACTTTCGAAATAAATTAAAATTATGAGTAAACCTGTATAAAAATAAACAAACGAACGGTTGGGAAAAAGAGAAAGGAAAACAGCAAGCAAGTACGCACGCTCACGCAGTGACACATTCACAAGCCAATGAATATAAAGCTATGGTTGCATGTAGAGAGAAAATATATCCTAGATCGCCGGAAATATGCAAAAGTTTGGCAACAGTTTGTTTGTCAGAAATTGAGGACATCATTTAAATTTGTATAGAGGATGGGAAATTAGTTATAAAGGTCGTAAATATATATTTGCAAGGGGTAAGCTTTGTTTATTGAGAATACCAATTCGCGCGGCAGGGAATGTTAATAAAAGCGGCGAATAAAATTTGCCTTAAAGTAAGTGTAACATAAAGTTATCCCTTTTTGAGATATTTTGCATCAGTTAAGCTTGCTCTAAGCAAAGACTTGAGAGATGACTTGAAGATGAAAATTAGATGTCAATAAAAGACATTGTCGCGACGAATTTAGTAACAATTGGATCAGAATGCAAAATAAAGTGCATGGAATAATTGATATCTTTAAGCAATTTTACAGAATATATTGTGAATTGTTTCATCTGAAATATTCGATTAAGCAAAATATATTCGCGTACCTTAAGCTTCCAACGAATCGTAGTATGATCTTCAAGATCAGACGGAGAAACTATGTAATCTTTCATACGAGCTCATAACACCTAAACACTCAATTATCATTTCGCTTTGCCGTGTCTTAAGCTTTGCACACACTTAACAGAATTTCGGCTTAGGCCGAAGAAGAGTAAAATAACGCAATAACGAGAAAGGATTTATATTAAGTTTTCACCGAATTTTTTAATACCCATCGCTAGCATGCACACGATATTTGATTGCAAGATAGGGCGAGAATCTTATCTATTCGCTCGATTACATACACGTTCTTCATTTTTTTTTTGATCATTATCGTTATTGCAATTTAAGAATGAACGACAAGAGTATTCAGACGAATCCATTCTGATCAAGTATATTTATATATATATATATACATAGATATATGTATGCGTTACAGAGATTCCGATACGCTATTTGCTTGCGTTTCAAATATTTGGCAAATCTGATATTACCCCCCGTGGTATAAAAAAACAAAAAAAAGTGAAAAGTGCAGTGACAGCGGAATATGATCTTGTGAGAAGATTGTCCTCCCACAGGTTTTAATGATAATCTCTTGAATTATGAGTTTTTAAATAAATTTTGGCATGCGTAACACAAAAAGGCAGAGTAAAACACCGACCATGACAACAGAGAGCAACTCATAAATTCTAAATGCAAAAAAAAGGAAAAAGTCCAACTCGTGCCTGAATAAAAAGTGCAATTTGATCGTTTGCAGACATTAAGTAAACGCAGAGCATGCATTTTGACTTTGACTAATGCTTTACAACAACTGAAGCGCCAAGTCACGACCTTTACACAACAGTAACAGTAACAGTAACAGTAAGTAAATATGATTGTGTGTAAAATAGTAAGAGGAAGGTAAGAGGAAGAAAACGAAAAAAAGCTGCTCAGGACTTATATCAAATAATAAAAAAAATGTTACTTACATTTTTATTCTCCTTTCATTCGTCGTCTTTCACTTTGCATTGTTGTTCGCTTTAAAGTTTCAATTTCTTGGTAGAATCAATTTAGTTTTTTTATAGATTTTGTTTGTTTCTTTAACTCCTTCAGTAGCAGTCTTGTGCCAGAAGTTCGTAAAATACTCCCACGATGGCAGGGCTGTTCTCTGCTTACTTACTGTTCTGCTCTACTATCGAACAACAAAATGTACGATAATGAGCGTAACTAATTGTTTGCCTTAAAGAAAAGGATTAGCCTGTCTGTTTCACCGTTTTGCCTCTGTCCCCTTCATGTTCGTATTGGACGCTAGTGTGTTTCTCAATGTTGCGCATACCTGTGAATTGCGTGACTTTGGCAAATCCATAATAATGCATTTAACTTTAGCTTTCAAGTGCTAAATTTTACACCCAACTGAGGTTAGTATGCGAGTAAGTGAATGCCTGCGAAACCCTCTGGCATTATATACATCGAACATTGTTCTGCAGCCAGATGGACGGATTGACAACCTACTTGTACCGCACAACAACAACAACAACAACAACAACAACAACAACAACAACAACAAGGACAATAAAGCAACAACAAAAGCAATAACCAAATAATTATGTAATTACTCAGGCGTACCGATATGATTGTCAAAGCCACAAAAACAAAAATGAGAAACTTGAAGAGATCAGGCGTGGGAACAATCAAAGCATATTACTTAAAAGATGATTCCCCCAAATCAGCAAATATAAAATGCATAAATAAAATAAAAAAAAAAAAAATTACTGAATTCAGGCGTAAGTAAATTCTATTCTTAACAGTCTTTACTTTTATTATTATTTTTTTTCTTTTTTTTCTATTATAACGGAAGTCCGTAGACAATATTACAGAGTCCTGTGTGCGTGCAAAGTAACGTGTCTAATAATGCGCATTAGTGTCGCGTACAGCTGCTGCTACCATAATAATATGCTATATATATATATATATATATATATATATATATGTATGTGTGTATAAGTTATATGTGTAAGTATGCGCGTAACTTGAGCGCCCACCTTGTTTACCGAAAACCAGCGCATAAACATACCTACATATGAATATATAAATACACATATACACATATGTATATATACGAAAGCATGCAACACATGCTGCCTACTGTTCCGACACACCGGTATTCACTGAACCACGTAAATCAACCGGTCTCTGAGGGTTTCTGACATAATAAAATTTCGCAAATTGTAGTAAACATTTGCAGCTATTTTCCCTTAATCTCAAGCCGGGGATTTCAACCCCTGCTGTTAATGTTATGAATTCAACGGCAGCAGCATCGCTAACGGTGTTAGAAACTATTACATCCACCCTTTCATCTGCTCATGGTAATCGAGAAGCTGTTTGATGGCACTGCCAGCAAATCAATGATCGAGCAAATGAAGAACAACATGCAATCAAGTCAGAATGAATAAAATGAAATTAAAATCCACTTTGAGCCTATTAAAACATACACATTTATGAGGCGTTTTTACAGCAGCTTTCTTGTTGGCTTTTGCTTTAGCCACCCGTCCATTTTCAGTCCCGTTCTGTGTCGTCAATTTAGAGCACAGTGACGTTCGCATACGTTGGACCAAAACACGGAAGTCGCGTTACATTGTTTTACTGATTATTGCGCATGTCGTTCAGATTAATTGACATCAAGTCAACGACATGTCAATCAAACTGTTATGCACCATT